ACAACAAAAAATTGACAAATACTATATGTATATAAAATAAAGGAATTACGCACGTGATCTTGCCACGTGAAACACACGCTTATGTGTCAAACCGATGATGAAATGCACAATTCTTTCAACACTCTCAACCTCAGAAATCTCTCCGCAAATTATTCTTCTTCTTCTCCAACAAATTGCAGCCATATTGAAGACTATGGACTACTCCATGGTTCCGAAACAACATCGGCCAGAGCGTGATATGCAAAACACATTAGCGAGTGCATACAATTTTTTCGTTGCAAATCGAATTCCGAGAAAATACAGAGGAAAAAAAATAAGCATTTGTTAATCGAATTATTTAAAAAAAAAAAAGTAAAGAGAAGATCGTCGTATTTGCCTCTTACCAGTCACATTCGAACTTTTTTTTTCTTGAAATTATGGCGTTGTTCATGGTGAACATCATATTTCCATCTTGCCAGTCACATAAAATCTGAAAACTGATGTCATTCATCGTGTTTTTCTCCCTCGAAGCACGTGACATGGTGTATTGAGAAAGGAACGCAGATGAAATAGAACTCCAAGAAATCTGCAACAAACACAATAGGAATACATGAACTCGGATTTACATAGATGCACTATCTTTATTGATGACGAAACCAAAGACATTTAACCTTTAAATATGATCAATCAGAGAATCGTAATAAAATTTGTTAATTGTTTTAGTTTTAATATTATTCAAATGCTAGCTAAAATCAAATAATAAACTGACATTCACACAATACGCTTCAACAATTTACAAAGCAAGAAACTTAGCACATAAACTGACATACTCAAAGAACAACCTTGTTTAGACCAAACAAATGAACCTGGGAAATTAAGCAATGTTGTTCCTTTTATGGGTAGAAACATATGAAGCACGCAACAATGCCGAAACCTTCGGATATAAGAAACCAAGATGATTGATTGTGTACAAAAAGAATATATAACAATAAAAGAAAAAAAAAGGCTTTAGAATCACAAACTCACCAATTCAAATCCAACACACTTCCTACAAAAAAACATTTGTAACAACTATCTTCAAATTTATGTAAATGATACCTAACTTATAGAGATATTCCAATGTCATTACCAATTCCGCCGCGTAGAATCTGAAAAGCAAATGCCAATTTTTTTAATTATTCCTAGATAAATTGCCTAAAAGATTATGTTATTGGACATTAAAAGTAAATTAGAAGGAAAAGAAGAAGGAAACTAATTGTACCTAATGATATTATCTAAGAACATTTTCACAGTTTGTCTTCAGGCGGAATCTGATTAAATATGAAAAAATATTATTAGAGTTACATCTAGGGTTATAATCAAAATATCTTTCTGCGTTTATGCTTTATATTTGAGCCTAAATATGTTGACCAATATTCGAAGAGGATACTCATTTTTGTTTAAGCTATGATTTTATCGGATAATGTTGTGGATGTGTTGGAACTAAATTGTAATCTTATGCAATAATTTGATTTCAGTTTATTTCTTCTGATTCATTCAATTGTTAACATCCATATATTTGTCATTCTATTTTATGTGAATTTCTATATATTCAAATAATTGACAACTAGTTGATATTAAATTGGACTCAAGTAGTGGAATTGTAGGTGAGTACAAAAGTGTGTTGCGTATCGTAGATAGTCTACCATTTGATTAGAAATTGTGATTGAATGTTTTATGTTTAATCTGCTGACGATAGACATATTGGAGTAAATTGCATATTAGGTCACGAAACAATACGACTCTCTTATATAAAACAATAGAATTATTGAAGGTTTGGTTAATGAACTTGATTTCTACTAAAAACTAAGGAGCAAAATGCAATTAACTATTTTATCAAAACTATGAAACTAAAAGCGTAAGTTGTTAGTGAAATGTAGACGAATTGCATTTGAAGCATTGCACTTGAAATATTAGAAATGGGTGGCGGTGGTATTCGAACTCATGACCTTTTTCATTTGGTCTGACTCTGATACCATGATACCATATTGAATGATCATTTCAACCAAAAGTTTATATAGTTAGTGAAATATATCATTTAATATTAATATCTCCAATAGCCACCAAAGCACCTGTGATATCCAACATATATTTTGCGGATGCTACATTAATTGTTTGCCGAGCTATATAACATTGAGACGTTGGTCTAGAATAACGTGGTAGACAAATATGCAAATGTATCAGATTAAGTCATTAACCTCAAGAAATCTACGATAATGTTTAGCCCAAGGACCTCGAATTGTTAATCACTCGATTCTTTTGCTTAAATAGATGCTAATAACTGTGCATTTTACACACTTATCAATCGAAAATGATTTGGACCGAACTCATTAACATCGATCACCTTTGCCACCCTTAAAGGCCGACCAACAACATAGGATGGAGAAGCTTGTACATCTCTTAATGGTATAATGGTAGTTAAGGATCATACGTGTCTGGGCCGACTCTAGAGACTAGGAGGCCTAATGCGAGATACGAAATTGGCGCCGTTCTTATTTTTATCTACTATATAAAAATATTTAGTAATTCAATTAATTAAAAAGTATTATATTTTAATTTACAATTCTTTGAAAAATAAACAAAGCAGTGGTATATATTATTGGAATTTTTTAAGGCCTAAGTATAAAGATTATAAAAATATATATATTTTGATTTATGCATTTTGGGTCAATATTTAAGCAACAATACCATTGATCTTTCTTGAAGGCCCTTCATCAAAAAACACTTCGTAAATAAGGAAAGAAAAAAAAAAAAAAAAAAAGAGGCATATTTTGATTTATACATTTTGGGGCAATAATAAAACAACAATATAGATGGACTTCGTTGGAGGCTCGCAATCAAAAAATTACTTAACAAAAGAAATGAAATGAAAATACATAATATATATATTATATAGAGATTTTATGGGCCTTTGGGGATCAAACTAGAGACCGTACTTAACTAAAGCAAGCATTGCACCACTGACCAAATATCACTGTAATATTACATAAGTCGTGCAACAATAAACTTTGAGGTCGATTACGGTTGAAGGAGGACGCGTAGAAACGATAAACGTTTTTTGTTGAAGAAAAGTTGGACTAGTCTTTTGGAGCCATAATATAGAGTGTCTCTCTCTCAGCAAAGCTTTTGATGAATATATTATTTGGCCAAATCTCTTTAATAGTCCCTCAAGTATACATTATTTCCCACTCTTCTTCAACAATTTAAGGCGGTACGAGACGGTCGGAGGCAGTCAAACATTTAAGGCGGGTCAAACTCGGTGGTAAAAATCGGCCAAAAATCGGTTTTTTTTTTTTCTTTTCTTTTTTCCAAAATAACAGTTGGGATATTTTTAATAAAAAAATTGAGTTTATGCTTTATTTTTTTTATGTTAACTGTTATTGTTAAAGAACTAATGATGTATGCCATGAATGTTCAAGAATAAATGTAAACTCAAAACATTTGTCTTTTTATTTATATTTTATAAGAATATTTATGTATTATGATCTTATTATCATTAAACTTTATTATGTTGGTAAAATATATACATGATGGGAGATATAACTATGTTTAAATACTTTTTTATATATATTTTGAATATTTATAAATAATATATATATATATATATATTAAATTTTAAAAATCAATTTATTTCCGATTAATCAGCGCGCATCGATTAATTGTGAATCGGTGCCTGACCGCCTCCAACCCAATTACCGCTTTTTACAACCTTTCATACATATAATAAATGTCTAAACCACATAATTATAAAGATGTTTGTCTCTAATGTAATATCGATTGACTTAACCTAATATTGCATCTCCTAGATTATTGTTAACCAGCTGAGGTGGTGATGAGTTTTGATACTAAATTGTTAATTACCATTAATTTATTAGTGATAATTGATGGAATTTCTCCAAAGCTATAATTAATTTGAACGGGAACAAATAATCAATAGCGTAAATTTTGAATAATATGACAACCCAAGTATAAGTCCAATATATAAATAAAAAAAATCATGTTAGTCATCCACATTTTGGGGCGGGTTGAAATTATATATGCGAATAATAATCTTCTTAAGTTTGTTTGTTTATCTTCTTATTTCTTTTTCATGAGTTCTAAAATCGCTTATATTGACTTACGGAAACCAAAGGATACGATTCTGTTAGAAATAGATAAGATCTTCATTTAAAAATTCATAACAGCTGTTTAGTGAACAGATCAATCAACCAGGTAAAGACAGTGACAAACTACCTTAAAATAATCTTGGGACACCTTGTACACACGTACACCTGGAATTGATCAACTCAAACACTTGCAAGCACGAAATTACACAAACTTATAAAATACACACACACATATATATATATCTTATTGCATTTACTATCCATGTGAAAATCGCAAGTGTTGGTTTTCCTCTGTCATAAAAAAATTAACAAAAACCCCATGTATTAACAAAAGAATTACAGTTTTGAAAGACTTAATCAAGTAAGTCAGGTGACTGAATTGTAATTTTTCAAAAAAATACATAATTTTCGTATTTTTATAACTACCAAATATTGCTTTATATATATTTATAATTTAATAAATTTAAATCATAGAAAATGCAAAAAAAAATATATTAAAAATAAAACTTTTTAAAAAAAAGTAAAAAAAAAAAAAAGAATAAAGAAAGAACAAATGTTTGGGGCAATTCTATCATTTCATACAGCAAAAATGAAGAAAAATCGCAAAACCTGCAAGTGAGACACACGTTTGGGGTTTTTCGCCTTTGAGTAATAACTAATAGATACAGGGAAGTATTTGTTAATTTTTTTTATGACAGGAGGGAAACGGCAAGCAGCGATTTTCACAGGGGTAGTAAATGCAATAAGCTCTCTATAGTCTATATATATATATCGACTATACTGAAAACTCATGACTATATTATAAGAATTAGGGAAACCTATTTTTCAAAGCCAAAAAAATATACAAGGTCGATCACATAGAAAAAGATTGATATAATGTCATCGATAATGATTTTCCTATCCCTTTTCTTGCTTTTCTTCCGTCACTGCAATGCAGACGACAACTTTCTATGGGGTTCTTCCTGCTCGCACCCCTCAGAAGCAAAAAGTTCCACGTGGACAACAAATCTAAACAACTTGTTCAGCGCTCTGGAGACGAACGTGACTCTCAACAACGGCTACTGCAAAGCCGAGGCGGGTGAGAACGGTCCAGACAAAGTGTACGGCCTCATACAATGCAGAGGCGCGATATTTCCATGTCCAACTGTGCGGACTGCACCAGAAACTCCTTCAACACCAACAGCAGCTCTTGCGACGACGGCGGCGGTGGCAGGAGGAGGAACAGAAGAGTCATGGTTTATCAGAGGTGGTGTGTTATGCGGTACTCGAACGAGAGCTTCTTTGGGGTTTGGGAGAAATCGATTCATATAGTAACATCCAACCGCTCTTTTTCGAAAGAACAACCGGCGGTTGCTGCAAAGGGGAGAATGATGATGATGGGGCTGGCGGCAGCGGCTCCAGGGGAGGGTTTGATGTTTGCGAAAGCGGAGATGGAGGATGCGATGGGAGGGAAGAGGTATGGGTTGGCTCAGTGCACCAGAGACTTGGTGAAGTCGGATTGTAGGGATTGTTTGGAGCACTTGTTAAAAGAGTATGGGTCAATTGGGACAGGGGCTACCGTTGTTGAGAAACGGAGTTGGGGTATGTTTGTAGAGGGTTGTTTCATGTTGTACGATGATATTCCGTTTACTGCTATTGATGAGGGTGAGTATATGACTATAAATATATGTCAATAATTTGTTCAAGTGACTGTAGTTTAGTGGTGAGAATCCCACGTTGTGGCTGTGAGACCTGGGCTCGAATTCCAGCAGCCACACAATATATTTTTTTTTATCAATTCTTGATTTGTCTGTACGTTTGTGTTGCAGGAGGTGGAGGGGTGAGACCTTCCCATGCAGCAAATAGAGCTTTGGCTGCAGGACGATTAGCGACGGCCGCCATAACCATTTTCGTGACAGCAATTGCGTTTCTCTAAGCTCTTAGCTTCTTCCACCACCAGAAAAAGACAAGAGGCATTTAATATAATTACCATTAATAAATATTTATTGAAGAATCAAGATCTGAACAGTTGTTGTTGTATTATTTCATTACCACACTTATAAGTTTGATTCCACATTGTGATAATAGGTGTTAGCCTTATTATTTAAGTTGCTTCTGTAAACTCAATCTATCAATATTATATTCTTTTTTACTTTGTACGAAAGTGATATTCCCTCTCAATTTTCAAACGTTTTAATGGTCTAGTTTTATTACAACAATAAGATCGGTTATATATATATATATATATATAAAGAGAGAATTTCAATTTTAGTAGGTCTCCATTATTGATCGGAAATGGTTTTTCTAGATGATGACGTAGGAGTCTCGACAGGTCACCGTACCTGTAACACCGAAAGACGTTTCCCGGTGTAGTAGCTCCGATGATTAAGTTGGAGAGTATTTTCATGCACTTGAAATATATTATTTTGAAAAGGAGTTTCAATCCTTACCAGTTTGAGTGAACTCCCATTTTACAAGCACACATCTACCTTGGTCCCAAGTTAGCCTCATATTAGGGCTTTTAACCTAATTTTCTGTTTAATTGGGTCGGCCATCATAATTGGGCTTTTAGGTTAAATATAAATCTTAGCTCATCGATAATGGCGACTTAAGGTTTTCAGCGTCGCCCCATGATGTCTTTGTGTGTTGCGAGATGCGACTTCCTTCTTATCTTTGTTAGGGCTTTGTATGTTTTTTCTCAACTTAGTTCGGCTTTTAGTTTTGGGCTGTTTTTCCTTGGGTTACGTTTATGATCTGATTTTATAAGGGGTGAAATCCATATGAATAAAGTGGCATGTATCAACTACTCCCCCTATTCCAAAAAATTAATTTCAAATGCGGAATGAAGAATTTCGTCCTTTCTTTTTCCCGGCTCCGTGTCTTCCGTCCGTATGTCAGAAGGGTCAGCGCGCGTGGGTCAGTAACTCACTTTTTATGTGTCACCTCAGTTATTATTGAGGCGTGCCAAAAATATTTTCACTATAACCTAGGTGCTTTGATTGATCTCATCCATTCATTCGGACGAATGAGATCAATCGTCGTCTCGAATTCTCGATCTATATATAAATGATTCTCCCATTCTATTTGTTTCCTTTTTTGCGCACTTTCTTTATCTCTGTTTGCGAGCATTTTCTTTTAAGCCCCTTTTGGTTTCCCGGATAAGGGGTGATAAACAATATAATCACCTCTTATCAGACGTTGGTTTGTAGGATATAAGCCCGGCACAGATTCCGAGCCCGGTACCCAATCACGAAAATGCATGATAAATTATCTCAGCTCATGAGGTGAGATTGTGTAATCAGTGAAAAAGGCAAAAGAGGAAATGACCAAAAGCCCATAGTACAAATTTCTGTCTCTATCTTTCAAAAGCCCATTTTCCATTTTTCTCTCTCGCGTGACAACATCAGCTCCATCTGCTGCTATTTTTTTTTTTCCTTTTTTTTTCTTCCAAATCTTCATCTTAGCCGATGGTCTTCGTTTCTTTGGTACGACAGCAACAAAACCCTTCAAACCGACGACATCTAGACCTTCAAATATCTAAAAATTATAGTTAACTTTTTTTCTTTAATTCTTCTTTCAATGAGATTATTGAAGGATCGATTCGGAGAATTAGCCCAGGTACGAAAATTTCAATTAAATTTTCAAGATTTTCAATTCAATTCTTAAGATTTCCGATTCACTTTGCAAAATTATCTTAATTAGATGTGTAATCCGTAGTTTCACTAATTTATTGCGAAGGTGGGATCGATTGTTATTTGTAGAAGATGGTGATTTGTTGGGTGTTTTTTTCTTGTTCTTTTCCTTTTGGTTGATTGGTTGCAGCTAAAAGGGGGTTCCTTTATCTTTTCGTTTGTTACTTCATAATCTATTTGTCCGTTTTAGAATCTGTTAGTGAGATCTGAAAGAGAACATATTTTCATCTTTTGGTTTTACTTCGTAATCTTGTTCGGAATGTTGGAAATTTAATACTTACAGAATTGTGTTTAATTTTCATTTCATGCAGCTCGAAAGAGAATTCAATCACGAGTGAGTCTATTGACAACTTCTAAAAGACACATAACTTCTTGAATTATTAGTGTTGCCGCTCATCTCTAGGAATGGGTGAAGAAAGATGAAATTATCTGCAATTGAGATATTTCCCTCTCAATATAATCTCCATATCTCGATACCATGGCATAATCTACGGTGTGCCTGAAGCTCTTGATAGACACCCAAGGGAAAAAGGTCATCTTCGTGTAAGCTGAAAAAGATTTCGTCGATGTTCTTTTTCATATATTGTCTTTGCCTGTTGGTATAGTCATCAACTTGCTCAAAAAACAATAAATCATCAGCTCAAGTGGCTCAAGCAAACCTGTACGAAAACACAGAGAATCTAAATGAATCTTATACATGAACAATCAAGATTAAGGACACCCTCTTGAAACCTCCAATCCATAATTCTTCTGTTCCACTGTTGTCTCAGTGGTATTGAATCAACTGCAAGAAAATTCTACAGATGCGGCAATTGTTAGGGATATGTTTATGAAGATACAAAAGCATTGTCCAAATTACGATCGAAGTACGACGACAAATTTGTCTTATGTGGCGATGTTGGATTTGTGACGTGGGTTCTCACTTACATGGTGGTGGATGATTTGGTAGTGATGTCATTGTCTAGTATCTCAAGTATCACTCTGTCCCATCAGTTTCACGGTAAGAAATATTACATTGTTAATGTTGTGGAGTTTCTCACAATCTTATGTGGCTACTACATTAATATTTTTTTTTTGTGATTCTAGGAGTGGAGCACATATGTGATTTAAACATGTAATAGTGTTGATAAATACTAGCATGATGTGAACTGAATTTTACTAATTGAATTGTTCTCTCTTTCTCTCTCTCCAGTTTGGATGAATTTGAGGCCATTTTCATTTTGTTTATTCCATAGGCAAAAACTGATAATAATTAATTAGTTTATTCATTATATTAAATGAATTTAATTTGTTCACTGTTTATTAAAAAAAATTATATGCAATTGCATAGTGAAATTTAGTGTTAGTTTTCCACATATTTTGAAGATTACGTGACTTTTGCTCTTTCAATTTCAACACAAAGATATCCGAATAAAATGAAATTGAAATTGAGTAAAATGCCAACACTATATATATGGTAAGGGCAATTTTGACATTTCTGGTACTATCCCTCCTAATCATGCAAACCAAATATCATCTTGAAGTTATCCTTAATAAGTAATCCTACATACCAAACTCGAATTTTTGGCTACTGTATAATCATGAACAGTGTAATATAATATAATCCCACACAAATTATCTATCCTATACATCAAATCAAAAAAGAGCCCTTAGTGGATTATTCTTAGAGAAAAAACAGAGAGAGATTTTTTGTTTTGTTACCTTTTTGCGACCGATCCAACCTCTCGCTTTGGTAACTCTTTCTTCTTCTCCGCCGAACTTCTCAACTTTCTTTTTTCTTAAGGTACTCTTGTTTCAAATCCCCTTTCTCATATATATATATATATATATATATATATATATATATTACAACTATATATATGTACATCTCCCACTTTGTCCTGCTTAATTTATTTTCTCTTTTTTTTAGCACTCCAGGCCTAGAAACGATGCCGTTTTATTTTCCTCATCCAATCACATGGCAAATTTCTTCTCTTCTCCTTTTATTTTCAACCAGCTCGGCAGCTCGAACCTTTTCGTCTTCTGTGGTGGTCCACAAATACAATTTCTTTTTTGCTTTTCTTTTCTCTCCTCTTTAATCCTCCTTACGTGTCATCTCTTCCTTCTTCCACCAAAAAAGGGGTTCACAGAGAATTTCTTAATAAACCTTCTTGTCTGAAGATGGGCTCCCCTCCTTCTCCCAAATTCCACACCGACAAGAAGTTCAAAAAAAATGTTGAGTCTGTTCGTGGCCGCCGTCCGCTACCGTCGCCACCGCCGCCGCTTCATTCGACAGTCACCGCCCCAGCCGCCAACATCACTTCCCACCGCATTTTCCTCCAATTGCAGACCTCTCCCCTTTTCGATCACATCCAGAGTTGGATTACTCAGCTCATAATTTTTGGGTGCCCACCTCTTTTCTCTAACCCAATTTCTCAGCCATGGTATTGATTATATTTCCTTCCTCGTCCTCTTCTTTTTCTCCAGTTCTGCCATTTTTTATGCATTTGTATTGATTCAATTTTATTTTAGAAGCAACGTTTGATCAAGCAACCACAACTCTCGGTTACCTATAGGAGGCAAGCCTTCTTTTAGTGTTGCTGGCTCGACTAGTTCCTAAGAGAGAAGCTCGCAGATGAGAGAAGAGCTCGTGGTCGAGGTCGCCCTTCTCCGGCTTTCATGTGGGCGTTCTTCCCGTCTACATCACTGCAGGCTTTTCGCCTCTGTCGCAACCGCGGATGGGAAAATCGCCTGATATCTTATTAGATATATTAAGGTATTAAGGGGAAAAAATAGAATTAATTAAGAAAACAAAACAACATATGATGAAAAGAAGAAAAAAATTTGCCATTTTTTTTGTACAAGAAGAGGATTTTGTGCAGGCTCTGACATGAATAATTTCACTTGACTTCTCATATCTTCTTTTTCATAGTTGTCTTTCTTTCCTCTTCCTCCATACTACAAACAGAGACATAATTAATTATTACAAAAATAATGTTTGAAATACCAAAATTTCGATCAAAGGAAGAGCTTACATTTGGCTTCTTCGAGGTGATGAATAAGCATAATTATTACCTGATTCACTTGTTCGAGAAAAATCAGTGTGACATTAGGGAATATGAACTGCTTTGTCCAGAAAAACTGCGACACTTGTTCCAGAATTAAAAATATATGAAGTGAGTAAAAAATCTAGGAATGTGAGTGTTAGGTACAGATTCTTTCCAAAACAGCCATGGATCCGTAAACACAATTTAAAACAACTGGA